ACTTAAATTTAATTTAGTTTGGCCCTTAAGCTTTTCCGTTTTTACTCCTGCCCTGTATTTGTACCCTCGAGGGCTTTTTCTTGACCCTGAATCCTTTTCATTCTAACCTCTGAAAATGACCTGCATAAATTCCAGCTCCTTCTTTAAAAAAAAAAAATTAAAATAAAGATGGAATCTTGCTATGTCACCCAGGCTGGCCTTGAACTCCTGGGTTCAGGTGATCCTCCTGTGTCAGTCTCCTGAGTAGCTGGGACAACACTGCAGTCTTTACTCGACTTTTCCTCTGTTGCCCCCTTGAGGCTACCACCTTCCTGCAACCTGTGAAGGAGGCAACTTATCCTGCCTTGTCCAAATCGCCTTCTTGCTTCTTCCAAAACAATTGTCATCTGTTTGGAAAAGGTATTCCTACCTGAGGGCACAAACTATTCTTCTCTGCTACATCTTGCCCCTCTGTTTGCTGCCCTCTAGATGCCTTTTGATGATTCTTCAGCACTCATTGGAGATATTTGTCACCCGGTTCTACCATTTCATCCAATTGTCAGCACCGTAGGGGAAATCCAGGGCTGAGTGGCTGATGCCCTAGCTCTGTAGTTCCTTGACCCCACTTTTGGCAAATTTCCCCTTGCTTTGGTTCAACCACTCATGCTCACGGTCACAGCCTGGGCCTCATTCTTCTTCAGGGATTGTGCATCTCTGAAGTTTTAATGTTGAATAGCACAGCTGATTTGGGACATAAAATTAATATCTTAAACGGTACATATAGCCCGCCTCCAGTCCAGCTGTCTACATTCCCAGCCTCTCATGCTCACAGTCCTATGCGCTGGTGTTTAGGGTGAACTCATACTCTCAGTCCTGAGACCTAGGGGCCACCTTGGATCATGAGATAATCTGGGTTTTCAATACTAGTGGGGAAATGGTGATTAAATGCGTGGGTAATGGAGTCACACATACTTTTTCAAATCCCACGTCTTCCACTTTTAACTGTATAACACTGGGCAGGCTGCTCAAGCCCTCACCTACTATATGAGGATAAAAATTGCACCTCACAGGGTGTACATGAGGAATAAATGACTTAATGCAGAAGTACTTAGTACTGTGCTTACTGATAAATGGAAACCAATTAGAGGATGATTTTCTTTGAGGGGCTGAAAAAGTTAAAGGCTTTTGTTGTCCCACGGAGTGGTCTCCTGTATTTACTTCTAGTTTCAAGTAGGAATTTAAATTTTTGAAAGCTTTTGTCTTAGTATGGTCACACAACTGTTTGAATGGACCTGGTTGCTGCCACTTCCTCTGAAACCCTACTCTGGCCTCCTGAGGCCTACCAGAACTCAGGGCCAGGGCCGGGGGAAGAATGGGGGAGTAAGTGGCTTTTGCAAGTCTCCCTAGGCCCTAAGACATTCTTCTCTTCCTCGGGTTCACTGAACAGGAAATGTGCAGGTAGTATATGTTTTCCATTTTTTTTTTTGTACAAGCGTGGCTGTTTTCTAGAGAGTGGCCCATTGGCAGTTGTTGCTTAAGAACTGTTTAAAACAGTCACAACCTTTAGTTTCTACTGGCCTGTCACAGAAAGGGACACAGGGCCATGCCTACCATTGCAGCATGCCCGATTTCTTTATGAGACTGTGTTAGGACTAGTTGCTGCCTCTCCACTCACCTCACATACAATCTTCAACCCTCTCCACTCTGGCTTATCTCCCTCCCTCTCACCAAATGTTCTGGTCAGGAGTGTGGGTGAGGAACCCCAATGCAGAAGGGGTCAAATATGGGCATAATTCAAAAGCCATATAGAAATTCAGAGATCCAAAATGTCATGAATAGGTTTGATTATTTTTAAAAGTGTGAGTTATAAAAGTGGATACAGAACAGGATCAGATGCAGTGGCACAGACATGTAGGACCAGCTACTTGGAGGCTGAGGTGGGAGGATTCCTTGAGTCCAAGAGTTTGAGATTATCCTAGGCAACATAATGAGACCCCCATCTCTAAAAAAATACAAATAAAAAATTAGCAAGGTATAAATTAGGTACTTAGGTGACTGAGGCAGAGGATTGCTTGAGCTCAGAAGTTTGAGGCCTGAGCAGTATAGCAAGACTCTCTTTAAAAAAAAAGTAAATGTAACTGCAGAAACACCTATTGAAATATAAGCTATATAGCTCATATAGAAAATGAAAGAAAATAGAGGAAACCTCAAGAGATCTTTTAAAAATCCAGTTTAACTCATGCCTCTAATCCCAGCACTTGGGAGGCAGAGGCAAGAGTATTGCCTGAGCCTATGAGTTTGAGACCAGTGTGGGCAAATTGGCAAGACCACATCTCTACAATTAAAAAAAAAAAATTAGTTGAGCATGGTGTCGTGCACCTGTGACTCCAGCTACTTGGAAGACTGAGGTGGAAGGATCACCTGAACCCAGCAGGTCAAGGCTGCCGTGGTTGAGACTGGAGGCTGCACTCCAGCCTGGGTGACAGAGTGAGACTCTGGCTCAAAAAAAAAAAATCAGCTTAAAACATGTTACAGAAATTTGGCTAGGCATAGTGGCTCATGCCTGTATCCCAGCACTTTGGGAGGCTGAGGTGGGAGGATTGCTTGAACCCAGGAGTTTGAGACCAGCCTGGGCAACATAACAAGACCACTTCTCTACAGAAAATAAAAAAATTAGCCATGCATTGTGGCTTGTGTCTGTAGTCCCAGCTATTCAGGAGGTGGAGGCAAGGAAAATTCCTTCAGCCCAGGAGTTCAATACTGCTGCCACTGCACTCTAGCCTGGACAACAGAGTAAGACCCTAACTCTAAAAAAGGAGCAAACAAACAAACAAAAACATGCTATGGAAATTAGATTTAAAAAACTAGTGATGGAAGTTAATGTAAATGATTTAAAAAATCCATATAGAAGGTGTTTAAAATAGAAACAACTGAATAAAAATAATATAAAAGTAAAAATGCTGGGCAAAGTTTTATCAGGCAATCACAAACAGAAAATAACAGGGTAGGAATATAATTTTTAGTAAAAAGAATTTGAGGCAAAATACAATAACTGTATCCAAAAGGGAAATTTCTCTATTTTAAATAAAAAGTGCAATTCATAGTGACTATTGTACTGCTGAATAATGTGATATCAAAATATGAAGCAGAGTATTCCATGCTCTAGCAGTTTTATTCCTGGATGCATTCCAGCAGGTCTGTATACTTTTGGTCATTGAAAAGAGTGTAGTAGAGTGTTCTTAGCAGCACCCTCCATGACTTTCAAATGGAAGCTATCCAAAAGACCACCATCAAAAGAATGGATATATGGATTGTGGAATACTCACACAGTGAAATACTATACAACAATGAAAATGAATGTTCTGAGTGCACAGTTTACATGACCATCACGGTCAGAATGCTGAGCAGAAGGTGTTCACCACAAGTGAGCACATGCAGTGTGATTCCATTTACATAAAGAAAGTAACAGAAGAAGCAAAACTAACTTGTGATCCGAAGCCAGGGTAGGGATTTCTCTTTGAGGAGAAGGTGATGTGACCGGAAAGGAGGATGCAGGGGAGGGATGTTGGGGTCTGGAAGTGTCCTGGCTGGATCCAGGCCTGCTTATGCAGGGATGCTAGTTCCATGAAAAATTTTCAGGCTGTCCATTTAATTTGGGCAATTTTGTTTAAATCTATTTTATTTTATTAAAAGGTCAGAAATGAAGGAAAAATGATCCGAAATATTGGAAACTAATACAGAAAAATAGTCATTTTAGAGACTTTAGCATACTGCTCCAGGCTTTCTGCTTAAATAAATATACTAGATTGTTGAATAATATATCTAGATTGTATTAATTCCTATTGATACTTGACCTTAAAACACATATATATGTATAGTCTTTTTTAAAAAATGTGTTGATTCTATCATATACCAAAAAGAAATCCTCAAGTCCTGAAAGCAGGAATTGTATATATCATGTGACATTCTGAAACTGTAGTGTGGTAAACTAGATATTATTATTAATATTTTAACAAATATGAAAATTAATCACTTGGAATAGCTCAAATAGCTATTTAATGATTAAATCAAGGCAACAATCACAGATTATAATTGTTTTTTAAAAAATAAAAGTGAGAAAAATACATATTTTGTGAAAGTTTGTCTAGCGATCTAAACCTGTATTCAGTGGCAACAATGGCAGGTTCATAGTCTAAAATACTCTATTATTCTTAAAAAATGGAAGTAAATTATGTTTACAATTTAATTTGACAAAACAAGGATAAAATAAACCTAAGGGCCATAAGAGGGAGGAAGTAATAAGAGTAAAAGCAGCAAAGAAAATAATTAGAAAAGAAAAGTAAACAAAGGAGCTGATGAATAAATCTAATATGAATTGCTTGAAAGGATAAGGAAAACAACAATATAGACCTCTAGCAAATGTAATTAGGAAGAAAAAGAACACAAACATAAGAGAATTAAGAAACCCAGCTATAAGGAAATTTTAAATAGTTATTTGTATCATGGTATGCCAACATATATTTCTCATTCCATTTATAAATAGCAATTTTATGAAGTTATAGTTACAAAGATGTAATAATTAGAATAAACCTCTAATAACATAGAATAAGTGGAAAGATTGTCAGAGTCATTTTTCCAGCTCATGGCTTGCGGTCAGATAGTTGCTTGTGAGTTTTTATAAACTTCTAGGGAGCACTCTAGTAGAGCTTGGGAGCCAGAGACTTTGGTGTCACCTGGCTCTGCCAAGTACCTGCGTTGCCATTTGACCTTGGTGAACCTGTTTAACGTTGTCGAGTGAGTGAATGAACCAGTGAATAAGTGCTTGCATGTAGGAATGCCTTAGCCTTCTGAGGTTATCATGAGACTTAAGTGACTTAATATATGTGAAATTCTTAGCATCAGTCCTGATGAGTAGTGAGCATTCAGTTAACAGTAGGTATTGTCATTATCAAATGTTTTGTAGTATATGGGAATCAGAATATCTATGAGTAATCTTTTGATACTTTTATATCTGTTTTCAGGTTATCCTGATCCAGAAAATTTTTCCTGGACAGAATATCTGGAAGCTACCCAAACAAATGCAGTTCCTGCCAAAGTTTTTAAAATGGTAAGTTCTATATAGGTGCACACTCTCACCTTTAAACAAGGTCTTTGTTGAGTCATGCCTTCATTTGGCAGTTTTAAATTATTCTAATTTTTTTCTTTCTAAATTCAAGTCATATTTTTACAGCCAATTTGCTTTGCTTCTAGTTAAAAATGCATAGTAGCTGATTTATTTGGTTTTGTTCCTGTCTACAAATGTAGGTGATTATTTCGTTCCTTGAAAAAACCAGTAGCCACATATTTGAGCACTGTTGCACGCACCTTATCATCTGTGGTGACAGCATCCTTGCTTTGATGGTTCTGTTAGTCTGCTGAGTGAGACCTCTGAGCTTTCACAGCAACACTTTCCCTGTATGACTTGTGACGAGGCCATGACAAAATAGGCAGAATGTATGTAGTCTGTGTGTATAATTGTATCCATTTTGAGGGAAGGTTTTCTTTTAGCATTAGCTAGAATACTAATTTTTAAAGTTCAAATTCACACTTGTATACCTATGTCAGAGTTGAACTAAGTACAATTTCTAAAAGAAAGTGCATAGTTAGTGGTATTTATGTTCTAAACCAGTGGTTTTCAAACTGTGTTCCCTTTCATTTCCCAGTGTGCTCCAGGCTCCCCAACTCATCTTTAATCAGATTTTATATACTGAGTTCTCCATATGATGTTATTTTCTGATTGTTTTCTAGAAATCAAAAGGGGTTTGAAACAAAAATTTATTTCATTTTTTTAAAAAGTTATTATAGCCAGGCTCGGTGGCTCAGCCTGTAATCCCAGTGCTTTGGGAGGCTGAGGTGAGTGGATTGTCTGTGCTTGCGGGTTCGAGACCCACCTGGGCAACTTGGTGAGACCTCATCTCTATAATAAATCAAAAATTAGCCAGACGTGGTAGCACGTGCCTGTAGTTCCAGCTGCTTGGAAGGCTGAGGCAGAAGGATCGCCAGAGCCCAGCAGGTCGAGGCTGCAGTGGCCAGGAGTGGCCACCGCACTCCAGTCTGGGTGACAGAGTGAGATTCCAACTGAAAAAAAAAAAGTTATTATAATAGGCTGAATTGTGAGGAAGATATACACGTAAGAAAATCAGGAAGATGGAAGTGCTGAAGCATTAAGAAGGGTTATAAGAATTGCAAAGATTCTGTAAGGGTGTTTCCTACATTTTCTTCTAGGATTCTTATAGTTTGAGGTTTTACATTTAGCTCTTTGATCCATTTATAGAAAGTGGAATAGACAACCAATTTCTGATCAACTATCTAAAAGGAAAGATATATAAATGGGACCTCAACAAACTGAAAAGCTTCTGCAAAGCAAAAAAAAAACCATTCAGAGAGCAGGGAAACGACCCACAGAATGGGAAAAAATATTTGCTAACTGTAAATCTGGCAAAGGCCTAACATCCAGGATCTACAAGGATCTCAAACATGTCGAAAGGAAAAAAACAAACAATCCTATTAAAAAATGGGCAAAAGATCTGAATAGACTCTTCTCAGAAGAAGACCTATGGTCAGCCAACAGGTACACAAAAAGATGCTCAGCTTCACTAACCATCAAAGAAATGCAAATTAAAACCACACTGAGATACCACTTAACTCCAGTCAGGTTGGCCATCATCAATAACTCAAAAAGAAACAGATGCTGGAGAGGATGTGGGGAAAAAGGAACACTTCTACACTGTCAGTAGAAGTGTAAACTAGTACAACTTCTGTGGAAAACAGTGTGACAATATCTAAAAGACCTAAAAATCAGCCTTCCATATGAGCCAACGATCCCCCTTTTGGGAATATACCCGGAGGAACTTATATCACTCTATAAAAAAGATGCCTGCACATGCATATTTATTGCAGCATTATTCACACTAGCAAAAACATGGATCCATCCATGCTGCCTATAGAAAGTGCACTGGATAAAGAAAATGGGGTACATTTAATGATGGAATATTATGCAACCATAAAGAAAGGCAAAATTATGAACTTCGCAGTAACTTGGATGGAATTAGAGTCTATAAAACTCAGTGATTTATCGTAGAAACAAAGATCTGAGTACTATATGAACTCACTTAGAAGCAGACCCTGAACATTTATCATAATACAACAAGAAAGGGATTGGCAGTAGCAGGGCACTGCCAGGGGAGGAAGGGGAGAACATAACATCAATAAGGGTACCCAAACTCTACCTGTGCGATGACCGCTTTTGTACCTAACCCTGAATTGTACCCCACATATTTAAAATAACAATAAAGAATTGCAAAAATTCAATAAGCAAAAACGCCCACTCTCTCTCTCTTGCTTTCTTTCAAAACTTTATTTTTCCAAAAGAAAAGTTACAACAAAATTAAATTATGTAAAGATTTAGCTAAGAAGGTAACTTTCAGGCTCTGTCATGGGTTTTTGTGGATTTAGCTTAGATACATGTCTTTGGCATCTACAGTACGAAACATTTTTACCTCTTTTGTCAGAACAGTAACCTCGGGGAGAATAGAAAGATTTTTAGGGATCACAGACTTAATTATGAGCCTGACCCAAAAAAACCCAGAATTATTTTTTGGAGGTTAGGCCCATTGTAGTACAGGCTTTCCTCTTCAGGTAAGTGTTCTAGGAACCCATTGGCATCAGTGTACCAGCTAGCATTGTTGTGAGAGGTTGTGTTTGGCTTCCGTGAATTTTTCTGGAGATTCTTGAATCTCCAAAATGAGCATTTGCCCATTTCACAATGGATGATTTACGAGCGCACCTGCCTACACCCCACTGGATGTTCAGCAGTTTTTGACCAAAAATGGCATGGCCCCCATGTCCCACCCTCCCTATTCACCCGGTCTCGCCTGGAACTACTTTTTTCTGTTTCCCTGGGTGAAGAAAGTCCTCAAAGGGAAACATTTTGCCATTGTGGAAGAGGTGAAACAAAAAACAGCAGATGCACCAAAAGGTTTCAAATCTGACAAGTTCAAAAACTGTCTTAAGCAATGGAAAAAGTGTCTCAATAGTTGTATTGCATCAAAGAATACTTTGAAGTGAACGAAGTTTAAGCATGTAAGAATAGGCTGGCCTTGGTGACTCAGCCTGTAATTCCAGCACTTTGGGAGGAAAACAATACCCTACTATTCCATAAGTAATAAGCCATAAAATATTTCTCCAATATCTTGTATGTTTCTCTCCAGCTTTGTAGAAACATATTTTCTTTCTAAAATGTATTATAACATCTACTAAATGGGAGTATACTGACTATATGAGGGAGACCCAAAAAACCCTGGAATTTATTTATAAAAATTTGTGTTTTACTCTTACATGTTTTTGTTCTTGTTTTCGTTATTTTGAGTTGGAGTCTCACTCCGTCACCCAGGCTGGAGTACAGTGGCATGCTCACGGCCACCCCAGTGTTGACCTGCTGGGCTCCAGCAAACTTTCCGCCTCAGGCTTCCAAGTAGCTGGAGCTACAGGTGCTCACTACTATGCCTGGCTAATTTTTTTATTTTGTTGTAGAGAGGAGGTCTCACCATGTGGCCCAGGCTGGTCTCGAACCTGTGGACTCAGACAGTCCTCTCGCCTCGGTCTCCCAAAGTGCTGGGATTATAGGCTTGAGGCACCGCACCCAGCCTCAACACACTTTTGCTTCCCGTAAAGTCAGTTGAACACTTTTATGCATAATAATTTTCAAAGTGCAGCTTTTTGCCAGCCAGAAAAGTCTGTTAGAGTTGTCTTTTTGACTTTTATGTTTGCTAGTAAATTTCCTTAGTTTTAATTATTTAAGTCCCTGTGTGCTTTTTTCTACTCCATTTTAGGACTGCCTGTGTGTCTGTCATTGTAGACTTAGTTTCTCCCATATTAAGATTTGAAAGAAACCTTAGTACAGATCCACCCTCTCATGTTACAGATGAGATGACAAACGCAGAGGTTATGGCTTTAAATTTCATTGCAGTATGGTTTTAAAATCATTTAACGGGAAATTATGCACTTTCATGTGCTACGCGTATTTTAAAGTTTAGATTCATAAAGAATCATGTTTATCCTTTTTAAGTATTTATTAAATAATTTTGCCTTCTAGGCCATGAACTTTGAAACTGGGCAGTGAGAATAGTCAGTAATTTCTTAAGTTATAAGATTAGTGTCAGAAAACATCTGCACTAATATATAAGATGTAATAAGATTCCTTTTGAACGTTGGTGTGATCATTAACAAACTTATAATTCATCTGCCTTTGTCTTTTTAGTTACATTAAAAATGACCAAAACATTATTTCTCGTTCATAAGTTTTTGTGAAACTTGATAAAATAATATGCATAAAGTCCTATGGGCTCTTAAAACTGAATTCCAGTTGTATTAAATACCTGTATTTAGTATTAGTAGGATATCTGAATTATTGAATTTTGCATGATTTTTTGCATTTGTGATGTTACAGAGGTCACCTCATGGTTTTCTGCCAAATGTGAAACTTGAAGTTGTGGATAAACGAAACCCCAGGTTAATTCGTGTTGCTACGATTATAGATGTTGATGACCAAAGAATAAAGGTACATGTTTTATGCTATTATGTTATTATATTAGTATCTTTTCCCACATTTCTTCTGTTTCTCCCACCTCCCATTCTCTGTACCCCTCTCAATTTTTAATTCATGTTCATAATAGTTTTCTGGGGGGCAAAATCATTCTCATCTGACCTTGAAGATTGACCTTGGCTAAGATTGACCTAGGAATAAGGATATCCTTAAAACAAGAAGGCAGTGCAATTCACCCACAAGGCTGGCTACAAAGGCTCTGATTTTTGGCACAGTAGAAGAATTAAACTCTTACTAGTTAATTTCTAGTCACATTTCTTTGAATAGAGAGAGATTCCCAGCTTATGTATATGTGAAGTGGGAAGGCAACCGATTAGACATGGCTGACTTTGAGAGGGATTCTAATACATTTTTTTTTAATTGATTGTTGTGACTTTCCCTGTTGGTTCTTTCTTTTGAGGCAGGGCCTGCCTATCTCTGTCACCCAGCCTGGAGTGCAGTGGCACAATCATAGCTCACTGCAGCCTCAACCTCCCGGGCTCAGTTGATTTTTCCGCCTTAGCCTTCTGAGTAGATGGGACTATAGGCATGCTACTACACCTGGAGAATTTTTTTATTTTTTGCATGTTACCCAGGCTGGTCTCAAACTTCTGGGCTCAAGCAATCCTCCCACCTCGGCCTCCCAAAATGCTGGGATTACAGGTGTGAGCCACTACACCTGGCCTCTTTTTATTTTTTTAAGCTTGTTTTTGTTGGTATTTGAAAATTTTTTTTGGAAATTGTCAATATATACCTTACCTGGAACAATAAAGTCTTTGTTTTCTGCTTTTCTTTGTCAAGTAAAAAAATAAAAATAAAAACATTTTAGTTATTGTAGCTAATACAAATGATTCGATTTTGAATGAAAGATTTAATTAACAGATTTGTATACAGTTCTTGTTGATCACAACTGTTTTTTAAAAAAATGCATCTTCAAAATGAAATTTTCCTAAAAGGAAAGATTTCTATTCCTTAAATAGAGAGCTGAAAGCATCTGTGTAGTTCATTAAACCTTCTGTAACATATGATCATTCAAAAATTATTTTCTACCTAAGCACAGTTTTCTTTTTCATAATAATAAAACTATAATCCCAGCAAGACTCAAGATATTCTATTTCTTGCTCTCATAAATCCACTTGTTCTAGTCTGGCCAGATATTCTGAATTTCATACTGAAAATATTAATTTGGTCATGTGTGATTGGTTCATTGGTATGTGAGCTGTGAATTTTTTCTTGCCATGCAGGGTTTTAAGATGCTAGGTTTATTAATTACCATGTTTGCTCTCTAATAAATATTTATGATGTATGCAGTGTATCTTGTTCAATTTATAGCCAGCTATTATGTTTAATAATTATTCTTTTGTTTGACTGCACAGTGTGCTCTGTTATATCTGAAAGCCCATTACTGTCACCTTATCAGAAAATGCACATTAAATTATCATAGATGGATGAATGCTTTTAGAAAGTTTAGCCTTTTATTTGAAAAAAAAAATTCTACAAATAAATGTAAAGGAAGAACTTAAAGCAGAGTAATATTTGATAAATATTTGCCCTGTGGGAACTGCAGCTAAGCTGTGAAATGAATTATAAATGAATTTCAAATAGATGCTTTAAGAAGTTCTACTGAATCATTAATAAATTGAGTCTCTTCAGCAAGTCTTTTCATATTTAATGCATTAACTGGATGTATTTGTGGCATTTCTAAATGAAATAAGAGCATCATGACCAAGAGAAATTGTCGTGGTAAGTTGTCTACTTATATGACTAGAAATTATTTTGGATTTTAGGTCAAACCAACAGGTTCAAAAGCTTTTGTTTGAAAAAACTTGTAGGTATATTAATATGAAGCAAAAGTTTAAATGCAAGTCAGTGAATGTTCACTTTAATTAAAGGTTGCTTGTGCTTCGAGAAAGGTACTTGACCTTTATGAGTCCTAGTTTAATTATCTGTCAAAAAAAGTAGCAGAATCTGGAGTATATCATCTCACTTGCCAAGGTTTCTAACTGGGATGCATTTATGAAAATGGTTTTGAAATAGAAGGATAGGACATGATACTAACATTAAACATAACTGTCCTTTGAGCTAAACTTCTAATTAATGGTCATTATAGTGTCGCAGTGATTGATGGCTGTCTTCATTTGGAAAGGAGACTGGGACAGTTTTCAAAAGTATTATGATCAATTAATGAAAAGATAACTTTTAAAGGAGATGAAACTATAAATTAGTGTCAACCATTATTTCCAGAAGAGTGTAATTGCAGGTAAAACAATGATGAGATTGGTGATGGCTAACTCAAGCGCCCACGCTGCTGTTTACTTGCTTTACATGTTCTTACCCTTATGCCTCATAACAACCCGGTAAAGTTGATGTCGGTGAGGGAAGAGGCACAGAGAGCTTAAGAAAGTTGCCCAGGGCCACAGCTTGCAAAGGCAGAGCCAGGTGGGAACCGGTTGACCTGGTTCTTCAGCCTGAGCTCTGCAACCAGGTGGCAGCACCTTTTTTGTAAAGGGTCAGAGAGGCAGTAGTCCAGGCTTTGTGGCCACGTGGTATCTGCTGCAACAGTTCAACAGGGATGCTTATCAAAAAAGCAGGCAGAGACAATATGGAAATGAATGAATGACTCTGAAATTTGAATCCCACATGCTTTTCAAATGCCATGAAATAATCTTTTGCGTTTTACACCAGCTATTTAAAAATGCAAACACCATTATCTTGTGGGACACACAAAAATAGAATGGAACCCTACTTGGCCTGTGGTTGGCCCTTTTTGCCAAAACCAGTCTTAACAGACCCTGTACTGATTAGACCATTAGATGAATTTATTTAGTTGCTATCTTTAGTATAAAGTTTTGTATCCTTATGTTAATTTTTCTAACATTTGATTTTAAAATCAAACCGTGTCTGTATTTAATTTTCAGTTTAGTTTTCCATTGATTTTAGATTTTCAGTTAAAAAAAGGTAGAAGTAGTTAGGGCTACCATGTAATTAACAGCTTCCAGATTTAAAAGAAATATATATTTTTCTCATATCAATTAGTTATCACCATGTATTTTGTTTTCAATGTGAATGTAGCCAAGCCTCTGAAATGATGTATAGTTCCTCACTGCATTTATTCACATTGATAAAAGAAAAAACGTAAGACAAAGTCAATTTAACAGACTCTAATTGAGCAAAGAATGATTTGCAAATTGGGCGGCCTCCTGAACCAGAGTTGACAAAGAGAGATTCTAGTACAGCCACATGGTAGAAGAAGAGTTGCAGACAGAAAAAGGAAAGTGAGGTACCGAAAACGAAAGTAGAAACAGAAACAGCCACATTGGCTGCAGCTCAGGGTTTATCTTATTCAAGCCTGCCTTGAACAGTTGGCTGCTTTTGATTAGCCAAATCTTGGTGATTGGCACAAGAGATAACAGGTTAAATATCCAGGTAGGTGGCAGTCCACCATATGAAAGATTATGGAGAAACCTCTAGGTTGAACCCGAAATATACAAGGGGTCAGCTTTGGTCTGAACTTAATTCAACAACATTTTAGTTAAAGTCAGTATATCCAGAATAGAAATGCATGCCTGACAGCACAGCAGTGCAGTATTACCTTGGTGGTGAATTGGATATCCCACTCTGGAGCTCCTTAGATAACCCTTACGCCACTTCCATCTCACCAGCCTAACCTGCGAGATCTGATGAGATCCTGACGTGATTATTTGGCTGGAGGCATCAGCTTAGTCATGAACTAGATAGAATAGAAATAGAGCATTTCAGAGTTTTCTATGCAGAACACTGCCTGTATAGCAACTTCTTAAATAAAAGTTGATGGTGTCGCACTTTGTTCTTTTTTTTTTTTTTTTCTGAGTT